GCACATTGGAAACTTTAAGGTGAAAAAAGTAAGACACCTGTATAGTTCAGGTGTTTTTATGTTTAGATACCAGCCAGTAGGGGTTTCTCATATTTTAAGTATCCAAATTCCATTTAAATCCCCCCTGTTTTTTGGGGTTTTTTAAGATTCTGGTCCTTAGTGATGTTCCCAAGGTCACATGGGAAGTCTGTAACAATCCAAGTATTTGAACCCAAGTCCTGTACTAGGATTCTAACCACTGGACCATAATTCCTCTCTGAAAGTTACCTGTAGTCCCCATCCCTACTCATGTGCTATTTTTGTATGAGCTGGCTCCAATCCTTAACAAGTTGAATGGGAATAAAAAGGGTTGGGTGAGTGGAATGGAGTACAATATTACTTTACTTTACTTCATTATTTAAACACTGGCATTTCAAGAGCAAACTAAGCAACTTGATACAAACATCTTTCTACTCAAGACATTGATTGCTTACCTCTGGGTAAAAGGCTTCCCCCTTTCTTCCCCCAAGATCCATGTGATTATACGATAGTTTATGAGCCCTTTCCCCAGACAGCTTACCTTTTTTGGTTAGTGTTTGTACAGCATCTGGCACCATGGGGTCCTGACCCATAATTAACATTCTTAGATTGTACTGCAAAGCAAGTAAATACATATTAGAAATGAAAGGACATGTAACAACAGCAGGAATGTTTCTTTCCTCACTATAGTTTAAGTCCATGGAGTTACTGTAATTGAGGTAAAATGCTCTAGGACGGGTGACAGGGCACTGGACAGGGACACTAGAGAGCTATGTTGCATTCCTGGTTCTGACAAGAACCGTGTGATTTTTTTTTTTTAAGTGAGTAACTCCATCTAACCATGCTTCGATTGCCTCCTTACTAAAAGGACATAACTCAAATGCTGAGATAATTGAGGTAACAAATGCCCTTTTCCAAATTTTTGTTAATTATTGTGAAAAGAGAAACATGCCTGATATGTAGTATAGCAAAATATTACCACGCTTATGATGGTAGTTTAAGATCATAAAGGAATCCCCTGCAACCAAGTATGATCTTCCTGTGGATTGTCATTGTGCTTTCATAGTTATGGGATTGGCAGTGATGGAAGATGAACATGTTTGACCTGATAGAATGTTGTCTAGAGTCTAAATATAGCTCAGGAGAACAGTGGGTTTCCACATGCCTTTGCTACTGTAGCCCATAGGAACTAAGTGAGAAGTAATTTGAACATGAGCAAAAACTGACAGTGGCAGAATCCTGCGAGAAAAGGTATAGATGTTATAGCCAGAAGAGACCATTATGACTATCTGATCTAATATGACGTAGATGGTCAGGCCTTTACAATGCTCCTTGGGATGTTAAGTCGGTGTCTGCTGGCAAAACATTTCTCTTAGTCCCTAAAGTAACATTTCAGTCAAACTACTTTTTCCTTGAGGTTTATTTAACTTCCTTTCTAGGAGAAAAGATAAGTGTCAGCATTTGAGTACAAAAGAAAAAGCTTTCAATACCAGCTTTTCAAGAAGTACAAGTTGCATTTGAACCCTGAATGATGATGGATTTTTAAAATTTTTTATCTAAAATAGCTTAACTAGTAAATAAAGAATAAGGAAGAATCCAAGCATGGGTAGAGTTGATGATCTGATTGCTCTATTCCTTTTCTAATTTCTCTGATTTTTCCAAAAGGCCAAATTCAGTCCAGGTTTACCAAGACTTAGACTGCTGTGAAAGGCCTAAGTGGGAGAGCAAGGAGAAAAATAGTACCAGCAGAGAAAGTCAGGGAGAGATTACATAGAGTATCCATGTAGCTCAAGTAATGGTCTGGACAGCACAGACTGGGTGACACTGGTTAGGATATTTGGACATACAATAGCTAGATATAGTTTAACTGGATTGATTCTGTTCCTTCTTGTACTGTCATTCCATGGACCTCAGTGGAGTTATTTTATAGCAATGAAAGAGATCCCATGGTACTGTGGACCCCCGTCTGAAAAACTTCAACTAAAGACATGGGTCCTGCTTGTATTAAGCTTATTTCTATATCCCCTGTGTGTTTGTTTCTCAGTTAACCTTCTCATCTGGCCTGAGTTTAGCTTCAGCTGATAGATTCCGTCCATTGTGACTGAAGTCACATGATTCCTCATTCTAGCATGTCAGGTAAAATATATATAAAATATACTGCTGCAAAAGCAATATCATCTCTATTATTCGGACTTCTGTCTCTGAGGTTCTCTCAATTTCTTCATTGTGGGCTAACAGAATTTAGTCCTTTGCATACATGGAGAAACAGGCTCAGGGCACTTAATCAGTCAAATAAAAAAGTCTGTTGTAGAGCCAGAAAAGGTCCCAGCTCTCTTTTATGATGATTTGTGCCTCAACCATTGGAAACAAAAGCAAAGAATAATATTCCACAAACGAAAAGGGATGGGGGCTAAAAATTTCTCTTGGTACCTCCAATAAAGGATCTACTTATGTTCCTCCTTAAGGACTGGTTTCGGCATCCAAGAAGAGCGTGTCTTATGTGTTGAAGAAAGGTGGAGGTGGAAACATCTCAGTGATTGTGATTGGAGGTGCAGAAGAGTCTTTGAACGCACGTCCTGGAAGTTTAACTCTGAGCATCCTCAAAAGGAAAGGTTTTATCAAGATGGCTTTGAAGTTTGGGTAGGTTTCCCATTCAAATTGTTGGGTGGAACAGCATTTCTTTCAAAATGAAGCACTGGTTCAGTACAGCTGCCAAATCTGAAAGGGTAATTTGTGCATTGACATTAGATACGGATGTCCAAAAAGTCAGTCCTGATATTGCTACATCAGAGAGGATAGCAATGTAGGGGAAGTTGTGAAATCCCTTTTCATCTCATTTTCAGAAATAATTCAGAAGCAGTAGATGGAGGTAGACACATCCTCATCTGACTTGTAAACCACAGTAGTAAAAAAGTGAAACAGTATGTAGCAACATTTTCCAGTTTTTTTATTGTTGCTGAATCGCTTGCATTCTTAGATTAGTCAACAGCAGTTCTGCTGACCCTACCCTGACGTCATCACAGTCTGGCTTCTTTACTATTCATTCCATCCAGGAAGAGCACGTACCAACTGCAGAGACTTCCTCAGCCTGATGAAGGGTTTTTAAACCCAAAAGCTTGCTATATTAGACCAACTTAAATAGTTGTAAAAAAATATATATATATATTTTACAACTATTTAAGTTGGTCTAATAAAAGATCTCAGATTCACCGAAAGAACCTTGTCTGCCTATGTCCTTAAACCAATGTGGCTACAACCTACACCCCTGTAAATGGACAAGAGCATTTTTCTTTCTTCAGTGGGATGTCTTCATTTTAGGGGATATATAACAGAAACCCTGATTTACCAAATGCATAAGCAAAAATGCTGTAAAATAATCTATTACTTGTTCTGTTAACAACATAAAGACTTTTGCATGACTTCCTATAGAGGGTTTTGCATAACAATAAGTAGAATAGTGTGTTGATTGTGAAACCCAATTTCTCTCTCTCACTCACACACACACACACACACATACACACACACACACACACACACACGAGTGCTTTGAAGAAAGGTATTAATCTGAGTGTTTAGCAGAACCAGGGCCTTCATGATGGTGTGTTCCCTCTGTATTCTACATTAGAAATATGAGGTCTAATCTACTTTTGGCAGATCTAGAAAACCACTAAGCCCATATAATGATGTGAAATCTGAGGAATGAGGGGAGAAATTAATTTTTTTGCTCAAATTTCTGATTGCATCCAAAAAAAAGAATTAGGTGCTTAGATTCCATTTAAATCCGAAGTTGTGGCACCACTTCTACTGTAATACTGTTTAATGCTGGAGATGTGGAAACTTTTGTACTAAAGGTTTTGCCTTTAAAGATCCCTAGGCCCCTGAAAGGTCTAATGCTGGGAATGCTCATAAGTGCCTCGGTGTTGTCAGGACTGTGCCTAACTTGCACCTTCACCTGACTGAGATTCAGTAACTTGGCATTCCTCGATCATAGTCTGCTGACAGTCTTGATCCAGTAGGCATTCGTGGAGCATACCTAACACATGCTAATGTGATGCTTCTTGCAAAATGCAGTCTCTCTTCAATACAGGAGGAGGTGGTGGTGGCTCCTTCCTTTGTACATTGTCCCAGTAATTTGAATACAGAACATTCTGATATACGAAGAACAACACTTTTAAACTAATTTATAATTATTGGTATGGTGTAACAAACTGTTGCCCTCTTAAACTTTTGTTTAACACAGTACTGTTTCTTTATGTTTATGTTTATATTTTAACTTGTTTAATTGGTATTATATAGCAAGGTATTCCCTCAAGCTTTACTACTTTTAATATTTCCATGGTTAAGTTTGGTTTGGGCTTTATATTGTGCACTGTTTGGAATGTACACTTCCTCACAAGATGCTGCAGTTTCACTTCAGCTACCCAAATAGCTTTCAGAGAGTGCTTTTCAAAGGGGTTCAAATACTGAAGAATGTGAGGGGCCCGGGTTGCAATTTTCTCTCTTTTTTTTCTTTGGAGGGCTATGGACTCAAGGCCTTCTCTCCTACTTCTGTTGAGTATGTGCCCTAGCTGTTGATGTCCAACAGGTGTCCTAGGAAGGTTTAAGGAGCCCGTCTCAGCAAAATCAAGTGCTCTTAAAATAAATTAAAGGAAAATTAAAAACAAGCAGTATACTAATGATAAAACGATGCAAAGTGTGCATAGTAAGAAAATAATTACATTCTTGCATGGATCATAAATCTAAATAAAATAAAGAATAATTTAATACCTAAAACATACATTGATCTTCATTTTATTGAAGTTCTAAAGTTTCAAAAGTCAAAAAACCAGTGACTGACCTGTTATGGCAAATAACTTATTAACTAGTTTGCAAAGAAGTGCTGATCTTGGTTAATCTGCAGACAGACAATTCAGTAGGAATAGGAGTTCAAGGCTGATGAACAAAGATTCTGAGATGGGCCTGGCTCTTTTTTGTTTTGTTTTGTTGGGTTTTTTCCCCCCTAATTACCTTGCCACACTTAAAGCTTGCTAAAGAGAGATATAGCTACCAGTTTTATGTGAGATTTGGATGTGCCTGATATGCCATCTACTCATTAATATTAAGTTATTCTCTCTGAGGCAGTTAGATTACCTTTATGTGTCATTAAGAAAATATGTCTGTTTCTGTTACTGGTATAAACCTACCTCTGCAGTAAGACTAGATCTAACTGGCACAAAACCACCAAATTAGCTCTAAGTGACCCTAAACTGATCCCAAGCCAACTTTTTGGCACTCTAATCTTCTTGCCTAGAACTTGATCATTTCTTTGCTTTTTCTTTCCTTCTGCATAAACAAGCCAAAGTCTACTCCCCTTTTGAACTCCCATTGATGTGATAATGTCTTTTCATGGAATGGGAGGCTGGTTGCATGGTACTTTTAGGTGGTTTCTGGACTGCTTAACCCTGGACTGGCTGCACATTAACACCTTTAAGTTGCTTAAAACACTCATTATTTGTTTTAAAGTTGGAGATAACCCTGCCTTGGAGTGGCAGGACTATCTCCAATCTGCATAATTTTGTTCCTGTTTCATTACCATCTGGTCACTTCTCACAGGTATTCCACTCAAGTTGAAGCCTTCTAGTATCCCAGAATGCAGTGGCCCCTCCTGACTCGGCAAGCTGGGCTGCTGGGGTGTAGCGGGGCAAGGCACAGAACCTCGTCCCCCAAGGGACATTGGGCAGAGGCAGCTGAGCACTTGGTGGCTGTGGTGCCTCCCACCACCACTCAGACAGGTTCTGTTAACAGAAATCACTTTGCTGTTATAAAGATTACTAGAATCTTCAGTCAAATAGACCTCAGGTGGTCACAAGCTAATTGCATTCTTGTACTTACTGGTTCATATGGAGGTTTAGTGAGCTGTGATATTTTCTCTTCCATTTCTAGCTATACACCTTTCGCTGATGACACCAAAATTTGGGGGGAGGTGAGCACGCTAGCAGGGAGGGAGAGATTGCAGAGGGATCTGGATAAGTTACAGGGGTGGGCTAACAGGAACAGGATGTGTTTCAATACGGACAAGTGCAGGGTGCTGCACTTGGGCAGTAGGAACCAGCAGCACATTTACACAATGGGGAACTCCCTACTCGAGAGCACGGAGGCAGAAAGAGATCTTGGAGTCATTATTGACTCCAAGATGAACATGGGCCGACAATGCGAGGTCATGGTTGGCAGGGCTAACCGGACCTTGTCGTGCATCCACAGGTGCATCTCGAGTAGAGCCAAGGAGGTGATCCTCCCCCTCTACGCGACGCTGGTCAGGCCACAGCTGGAGTATTGTGTCCAGTTCTGTGCGCCCCATTTCAAGAGGGATGTGGACAACATGGAGAGGGTCCAGAGGAGGGCCACCCGCATGATCCGGGGACAACAGGGCAGACCCTACAGTGAGAGACTGCGGGACCTGAACCTATTCAGCCTCCACAAGAGAAGGCTGAGGGGGGACCTGGTGACCGTCTATAGACTCACTAGGGGGGACCAGAAGGGTTTGGGGGAGACGCTGTTTCCCCTAGCGCCCGCTGGCATAACAAGGAGTAATGGGCACAAGTTGATGGAGAGGAGGTATAGATTGGACATCCGCAAAAACTACTTCACGGTTAGGGCGGCTAGGAGCTGGAACCAACTTCCAATGGAAGTGGTGCTGGCCCCTACCCTGGGGGTCTTTAAGAAGAGGCTGGATGCCTACCTGGTTGGACTCATTTGAGTCCCGTTTCTCTTTTTGGGGTTTTTTGATGTTCTCCCGCCCTGGTGGGGGGTTGGGCTAGAAGATCTACTAGGTCCCTTCTGACCCTGAATCTATGAATCTATGTTCCTGCTGGCCGTGGCATGGAGAGAGAACTCTGGAGTAAAAAAGGCTCAGGCCCCTCAGAGCTCAGGCAGCACCTGGTGAGCCCAGCTGGCAGTAGCTCACAGGGGTGAGCTGCTGGCTGGCTGGCTGGGTGCCACCTGAACTCCCAGAGGCCCAATTCTTCTTTTTCCTCTGGAGCTTACCCCCTGTGCCAGGCAGAGCAAGAGGATCCTACCCCATCTTTCCCTGCACAAGTGCAGGGTGCCAGGGATACCTTGCCTACCCACAGCGCAGCCTTGGTCTGCCAGGAAGCATCAAGCACAGGGGGGATTCCCCTATCCCCTGCTTGCTGCTGCCCAGGAGATCCAAGCTGCTGTGGCAGGGCAGGGTATCCCCAGCTCCCTGCACACGTTGGAGGAAGGGGACCTGCTTGCTGCTTCTGCTGGGCAGAGCAAGTGACTCCAGGGCTGCAGCAAGCATGGAGAGGGAGAAGGAGATCCCCTCCACCCATGCATGGAGCCAGGGGCACTCTACCTGTCTGGAGCAGAGTCCGGGTCTTCTAGAGAGAAGGAAGCTAGGGGGAGGAATCGTCTCCTATTTCCCCCGACATGTGCAGTGCACCAGGCAGTTTGCTGTTTTCTGGGAGGCCTGAATTGCTGTGTCAGTTTAGGGAGACCAGAGAGCTGCTTCCCCCCAGGACTCGCTTGTCTTGCTGAACCTGATAGCAGCTCTGTGCTGTGTGGGGCCATCACTGGCAACCCTGCTCTCAGCATGGAGCTGCCACAGCTCTGAGACCACAGAGCCCTGTGGAAGGGCAGCTCCATGCTGAGAGCAGGGCTGCCAGGGCTTACGTCTGACGGCCCTACTCTCAGTGCAGAGCTGCTGTGCCAGTTTTGGCCAAACCACAGAGCCCCAGAGAAGCTGTTTTCTGCAGGTCTCTCTAGTCCTGCTGCAACTGACACAGTGATGGGCCTACTCTGCCCAGCAGGAGCAGTGAGTGGGTCCTCCTCCTAGTCCTGTCTCTGCTTGCCAAGCAGCTATGCAGGTGAAGGATTGTCAGAGCAGGTTTTTTGTCTTTCCATGTGACTGTTCCACTAAACCAAACAACACTATGCCAATTTTAACACTTGTCTGGCTTGGAGCATGAGGTTTGATGAGGTCCAGAGAAATGGATCAGATCCTTTAAGCACTGAAATAATGCCATTGGTTGACAGAAGTTCCCCTGGAGGCAGGCTACTTTGGATCATACAAAATCTAGATACAGAATGAGAAACCACAATGATATATGACTAATAGATAAGCTAACTTCTTCTGAGTTTCACAACCAAAACTCCATGTTACTCATTTCTGTATGGCAGTCTTTTACAGCAAGTCTTGCAAAAGTCTGTGTGTCAAAGAAGAAAAGAAATCTGGGATTATTCTAGAGTATATTCAGAAATGCTATCACACAGGCTTGTACTGTTCCTCATCAATGACCTAGCAAAAACTTGGTATCCTATAAATCCTCACTCTTTACAGAACCTCCAGTTGTTTCCTTCAGGGGTAACTGTCTGACACAGTACTGTCATGGATAAAAGGAAGCAGCTTCACGGTTTTAGGTTTGAAGACGCCATTCAGAATAGCAAATAGAATGGGGGCAAGGAAGATGGGTCTCGTAAATCCCAAGATTTTATAAACCAAAAAAGTTGTTTGCTTTGCACAAGCAATTCATTCTTGTTTTACATGTCAGCCAACTTCACCCTTGCTTCAGTAAGATTAGCTTTCACTCTTCTCAGCATATCCTGATGTCATGAAAACAGGTATGAAATGGTCACCTTGAGTAATGTAGAAATACTACTCCTTTTTAAGTCATGTGCCATAAAGATACCATCAAACATGGCATATGATGGAACATGCCTAGGACACTTAAAGATCGTATAGGAATCTAGCTTAAGAAAACTGAGAGGTATGAATCTTTGAAGGACTTAAGATCATTATGTTTTGTTCTTGTTAGGGGTTTTTTTGGTTTTGTTTTTTTTTAATTTTATAAGGTAGTATTTTAGTGGTGTTCTGCTTATTCAACAACCACATAAATTCACCAGATTAAGGATTTTGCACAGCCAAGACCTCATTTAAACCCCTGGCTGGCATTTCACTCTGATAACATTAGACCTTAGATAAAGATATTCAACCCCTTGCTGGTCTTGGACCCCATCCAGGAACAAAACAAAATCATATTAAGTGATGTAGCTGGATTGTATATAGTGGGGTTGCCAACCTGCATCTTAAGTGCCACATGTTGTTTAGGCAGTCTGTGGGTGTTGCACATGGCAGATTTAAGGAGGGACCAGGAGGCAGAGTGGCAGATAGGGTAGGGAGCAGAAAGTAGAGTAGCAAATCAAGCAAGGGAAGGGGATCAGAGTGGCACTTGAGGAAGGTGTGGGGCTTAACTTGTGACATCTCTGTCAATAAGGCTGTCCCCCTCCCCTCAGCTCTAAAGTGTCTTCTGCAGGCAGGATTTGGCATCTACTGTTAGAAGATTAAGGCTGGAATTTTTCAAGGGAACTACAGGGAGTTAGGCATCTAAATCCTGTTGAAATTCAGTGAGAGGTGGGTGCCTTCCCCCAAGCCAAAGAAGGCTGTGTTTTGTTTTTCATCCATTGCCTTATGCCTTTAGCAGTTGTTTTTGCTGGTGCTCAGAAATTGCATTGGCTATGCCAACTGAAAAGCAGATGAAGATCGGACTGTCTCCAGCCATCCATGTTGTTGTTGTTTTTTTCCTGTTAAAGTGAATATCATGCACCCATCCTAAAAGCTATGTTTCAGTGAAGGCATGAATGCATAACACATACACTGCATGTTATCACTCCCAGTGATGTTTTCTGCATTTTTTTAATGTGAAAAATTTATCATGCTGTAGATGCGAGTTGTAAATCATGCCTATGGGTGTTACATTGTTTTAATTTTTATCCATTTTCACAAGGGCTCATCTGGTCCCAGTATTTTCTTTTGGAGAAAATGAACTGTTTAAACAAGTTGCAAACCCCAAAGGATCGTGGCTCAGAAACTTACAAAGTAGAATGCAGAAGGTAATGGGGTTTGCTTTACCACTCTTTCATGCCAGAGGAATCTTTCAGTACAGTTTTGGCTTGATACCATACAGGAAACCTATTCACACAGTTGGTAAGTTCCTTGGCAATTGCCTTATTCTTGTGTGGATGCTTTGATATGTGTTTGTGGTTAAATTCAGTAATCTGTATTCCTTCACAAATCTGCTCTAACAGAAAGAATTGGTTGCTGTTCATCTAAAGACAAATGTGTGAGGTTTGAAATTAAATATCTTTCCTGGTATCTTTTATCTTGTTCTCCTGTGGAGGAAGGGAAAATAAAAATGGCTAGTCAGAAAAAGTAAGGGGTGGGTAGTTGAACTCTGCTTTTGGAGTGGGTGCTACTGAGCATGACACCCTTTAAAGCTCAGTCATGCTGTGAGTTTTCCTAAGGCAGTAGTTGACAACTGTATATTTTAAATGAACCATGTTTAGTACAATGAGATTTCATGCCTCTAGCTGAAGCCTACTAGTCTGTATTTTGTCGGGTCTATTCCATATCCCACAAATATATTTAAAACCCTGAATTTAATTTGGGTAGGAGGGTCTCATGATATACAATCATTTATTTCATGGTTTTCCAGTTTGGTGAGATGATGATTTTTCTCCTGCTGGACCAAAGAAGCAAGGTGATAACTTGTAAATTCTATAGGCTTGGTGGCTTTGGGACCCCAGTGTGTCTCTATTCTCCCTAGGTGTTATGGCCTCAGACTAGTCCCTAAGTAACAGTAGAATTAATTTTTTCAACCCTCAGTCAAACAATCTGTATGACAGGTTAGCAGAATCTAATAAGCCAGGAGATCTTCCATTTAAAAAAACCCCAACAAACACTCTAAATTTGTTTCAACCAAAAAAGTTAAGTACTTTTTAAAAAAAACATTTTTTTTTTAGTAATGTTACCATTTTGTGTGCTATTGCACTAAATAAGCTCTGATTTTGAAAATATTAACTAAAACCCAAAACAGGGTGCTAAGCTCACCAAAAATTTGTCCATACTGTATACAGGTTATTTTGAGAGAGAGGAAAAATTGATGCATTTAAATTTAAAAGTACAAATGAGAAGGTTCCTTCCCTGCCTCCTTACATGGGAACACTCAAGTTCACAGCTGCATAGCAGGATGACAGCATCTTTACAGACTTTTAGAGCCAAGAAAGTCTTTGTTGCAAGTCACGTTCCCCTTTTTTGTGTTGATAGTTTTGGTAAGGACAAGGATAGTCTGTTGCACAAGGAAAAGTAGTTAGCCATGTTAGTCTGAAGTCTGGCAGAAGGCAGGGTAGATATGTACCTGATAGACTAAATAGTTAGCACAAGCTTTTGTAAATTTGAGTTCACCTCATCAGATACTGTGAAAGAACAACATAGAGCAGTGTATGAAGTGGAGTGAGTGATTTGAATGCAAAAGGTGTGAAGAGTAGAGCGGAGGATCATTGGGAGAGACATACAAGCAAAGAATGAAGTGGTCACCAAAGCTAATCCAGGTAATGAGAGAGGAATCCATAGGCCCTATTTAAACCTTAATTCAGTCTGTGCATGATTTCTTGTTCTGCAAATTCCCATTCAAACTTGTTTTTAAATTTTTGCTTCTTGAAAATGGCTTCCTGCTGGGTTTTTTTGTTTTGTTTTGTTTTATTTTTTTATAACAGAGTATTAGAAAATATTTAATCCTGTAATTTACTTAATGCTGTCCAAGTACAGAACATACATCATGGTGTAAAAGGTTCTGATTTTTACTATTCTTTTCCTTTAAACCTATTATTAGTAGTATTATTATTATCTATTCCTTCAAACCTACTAGTTTTTTACTGATTTAAGAAGTCAGTAAGAACTTCAGCACTTCTTGATGCTGTTGTCATTTGTCTCTGGGTACAGCAGAAGGAATGCTACTTCATTCTCTTAAGCACAGACTATGTTGCACTGATCCATCTTAAATATGGTCCCTGGCACATGTTCATTTATTGGAGCAATGAGATATGATTCTTGACCCCAACAATTTGTGCCTCCTGCCATGCCATATGTGCATTATCAAAACCCCACACCCAGGGACAGGGGAGTCAAAATGTTTCCTCTACACTCCTCTAGGAGCCTCTGATCCCCTGTGTTGGACAGCCTAGCCAGAGGTGCCAGGTGTGGGGTTTAAAGTTCCTGGCAGGGAAGTCTGGGGAAGCTGCCTCAGCAACACTGTAAAGCTCACCATGCAGGAGCTTCCTTTTTCCCAGTTGCCTGTACCCCACATGGTGAAGGGGCACCTGCAGCTGTGAAGTAAAGCTCCCAGATCCCCAGCTGCTGCTTCTATGGCACCCCAGTAACTTAGTAAAGTGGGCATGCAGCAGGACCCCCAGCTGCATGACTGTTTTTTAAAGGTTCAGCGTTCACTGAGCCTGAGATCAAAGAGATGCTGCCTGATGGTGGGCTTCTGGCACCCCTTACACCTGCTCCATGTATTAGACAGGAGATCTGGTCCAAGACGTGATGTTGCCCACAGCCTAATCCCACTGATCAGGTAGGAGATGGATACATCCCAGGCCCTAAGTCTGCCCATGCCAGGCCTTTATGCTCGGATGAGCATTGGGATCTATCATGGGTCAGCCTGGACAGCCGCATTCAATTTAAGGCATGATACAATGTATAACATACTTTGGCTTATTTGGATGTGGAATATCTTTATAGTTTGTTTGGTATATTACACCATAAATAGGCTTTAATGTGTGGCTGGCTTACTATTTATGGCAAGATTAACACTTTACTTCACCCTAAATGTAATGTATGCCAGGGCCCTATGTCTATACAGCACGCCTCTAGAACAAGTTCAGGAAAGAGAAGCCCACAAATGACTCCACCTGAAAACTGGGCAAGGGTGCTCAGGAGCACACCTCTGTCTTTGGGACTGGCTCTCAGCACATGCCCCATAGGATGCAAAGTTTCCAAGTATGTGGTGTACTCTCAGGGCTGCTTGTGAGCTCTCTGTGCTGCCAAATCTGTGACTGCAGGCATGCCTGGAGCTAGCTAGTGCAGCTTGTTTCTTGGTTGTGCACCTAGACTAACTCTGGAGGCCTTTTAGGCCCCAAGCTATGCTGCTGCAACTCAGAATGCCTATGCAGAAATGTCCCAGCACTGAGATAGCTATTGTGCTCTGTATTAAGTTACCTATCAATAATGCCACCAAAGACAGGCTGCTCAATGCTTTTACCAATAAACAAGCCTTCCACAGGAGATCAGGTCTAACTTGCAGTCTCTGCCCATCCAAGGGGAGCAGGATCAGAGAAGAAGTATGTACTTTGGCCACAGGTCAAAACCACCAGAAAAATAAAGTCAAAGGCCTGGTTCTCTTTTCACCATGGTGCAAATTAACTGTGACTCTACTGCAGTCCACTGGCTCTTCACGCTGATATGTCGTGCTTATCTTGCACCTGATACAACTCATGTCATACTTTTACATCTGTGTATGAGGCAGAGTAGGATCGGACCCATAGAGAATGTATGACTGTAGTACAATATAAGCAGTTCTCTTAAACTTGAAATAGACCAGCTTTGTAGGGGTTTGCCTTAATGCCAAATCAAGAGTAGTATCTTATAGCCATTTTTATATAGGTTTTGGGGACTATATAAGGTGAAGGAAAGTAGCAATTTGAGCAAATGGAGTATGTGTGTGGAGGGAAAAAAAGATTTCTCATCTCCCTGCCACCAAATGGAGAGGTGGGAGTGGGTGGGAATCATGGTGTGTTATGAGGCGGTGGATTGGGATCAAAGTGTCTACAGCTGAGGAAAGCTGTAGTTCTGTGATCTCTCAGTCTATCATGTGGCTCACTCTTCCCTGTTATGGCAGTACAATTACCTGTAATAAACAGATGCCATTGTCACTGACATCATTCCTTTCATATTTGTTTGCAGTGGGGAGCCCTATTGCTGTGAAACAGAGCTTGAATCCTACAGCTGAAGAGATTGAACAGCTGCATCAGACCTACTTGCAAGAACTAAAAACGTTATTTGAAGAGCACAAAGGAAAATACGGGATCCCACAGCATGAAACTCTTGTCTTTGAATAACTGAAAACTCAGGGAATCTTGATCAAAGGAAAGTTGCCTCTGTAATTGTTCTTGTATAAGAGTACCCTGTGCGTGTAGTGTGTGTGTGTCCATTAGGATGGGATTAGGGGATATTATATCACTTTTAGTCATGGAAAACAGCCTAATTCATTTGAGGTCTGATCCTGCATCCCATCAGATGTGAGTGGCCCCTATAGGTTCATCTGCAGGCAAAGTTGTTGGTACTTTTCCTACCATTGGCTTAGATGCTAAGCTGGTAAGAACATCCTTGTAGATGGAGTACAGATGTTCAGCACCAGATCACCTAATCCTGCTGGCTGATGGAGCTGCACCAAAATGAGCTCAACAATGATGCTAACATACTGTGCCCTTAACTTCAGCTGTGTTGTTCCTGATGCATTACCAAAGGAATATCTTGTTGTTGGGGCATTAACCGAAGCTCTTTTCAATGTGGCATTGAGTTGCTTTCTGAATATCAAGAAGTACCTGTGCTAGCCTCTGAAGGAAAAGCTGTGTATTTCAAGTGGATGGTCATCAGGAACCAAATGCAAATACACAAATATGGGGGCAGTTTGTGGTTGCTCCTTTTCCAAATAGTGTTCTCAGCCTATAAACTAGTATACAACAGGTTCACCTCATTTGAGAGGGTTGACAGGGTTTTGTGGAGGGAGGTGTGTGTGTGTGCATGTATTGATGTATTGGGTGGTGGGGGAGAGATCTAGATGACTTTTTTTTTTTTTAGTAGAGACTACATTTTGGGGTCATGGGTTTCCCAAAAAAGTTGCTGTATTTTAGACATTCTGTTCTCAGGAAGTAACAAGCATTGTACTACATGGGAGACAATCTGCTTCAGAGACCAAGAGGGATCTTTGATTCCCTCTCCACACTTTCCCCTACAGACTTCATTTTACAAATTATTGGAAGACTCGCTTAGGGCAGACATCCTAATACATGGTCTTGTTCAGTTCAGTTCAGTTCTACAGCTACACCAAGGATGATGTAGTCCAGAAGCTAGACCAAAGGACTGGGAGCCAGTGTGTGAAGTTTTATTCCTGCTGCTATTGTTAGACTGGGCAAGCCACTTAACCTTTCTGTGCCTCAGTTTCTATACCTGTAAGGTAGGAATGCCCCTTGCTATAGGGAAGTAATTTATATTGCCACTTTCTCATCCTCTTCAGCTGGATATGTGTGTGAAGAAATGTGCTGAGATGTTGCCTATTCTCTCCCTTGCTTCAGATAATCAGTGCATGATGCTGCAGGGTGTGTGCCACCAAGTGCATGAGGAGCAAGGAAGGGGGAGACCAGTCACTTGCTGGGCAATGAGAACCCCAAGGAACTTGCTCCAATAACTTGGGTTGGACTCTGCTGAAGGGACACGTCCAGTGCAGGGTGCTCCTTTGTATTCTGAAAGGGGGCGGCTAACGTAGGAGAAGGGGAAGGAAGCTGATCAGAACCACAACTCCCTCCATGACTTGGAGAAGAAGCTTGTATCTAAACTAGTCAAAAAAAAGCTAGAAGCACAGCCTGTATTTGTCAGGAAGATTTCACAACAGGAAGTGATCATGATGCATTACCTCAATGGCACATGACTTCAGGAGCACAGCACCTAAATGTAAGCAGGTTCTTTTTACCCTGTGGCCATAGATGTACCTAAACATGGATGTCTGAGCTTAAATCTAGGCACCTGTTTCTTTTTAATGCCCAAAAGTGCTCAGGTCCCCAAAACGGCAATGTGTAAAGGGTGGAGCAGATTATGCATTAATATTTTTGATAGGTGAAAATATATGTATTTTGTAAATTTTTTTATGTACACATGGAGAAAATGTGTTGGTTTACAGTTTCATTCTAAAGAATTTATCTCACTTCAGATTATTTGCTGACTTCATGATATCAAATGCAACATTAGCTAGCATCTGAATGAGGCCAACTCTACACAGGAAATAGAATTGTGATTTCCAGTCCTCAGCTTCTGCTGCTGGAAGTGCCCCTCACTGGACATGCTCTGGGGGCAGTGCTGCTGGGTAGACAAAGGTAGGGCAGGCATCACATCCTCGGATACCTCAAGAGCCACTTCCTTGTCCCTGAAAATAATTTCATTAGAAGGTAGATGCTTATGATCCAGGTGTGGGGCTGGACCATTTGGAAGATGAAAATGGACAAACATGTTTTGAGGGACTATAACACAGGAGCAGTCATCATGACATCACCTGTATTTGGTTAACAATGAACTCCCATGAAACGATGTTACTTTTTCATAATAATCAGGGCTGTGAGAGAGTTGGTATTGCATGCACTGGAGGAGCAGCTGTTTCCTCTCCAGGCAGACTGCTTACAAATCATTTCCTTTTTTCTGTTACTGCTTTAAGCAATGGGTCCTTTCCTCTCTTGCTGCTGTCCCTTATGCTGTCTGGAAACTGCTGCAGTGCTGCAGAGCCCCTGATTTCTTCATGCACCAACCTACTCTGTACGGGTTAGGGACTTCTGAAGGTGCACAAAAACATCCTCTGGGGCCATTTATCAATGAGCAGGGAGAGAGGAGGGTCAGAAATCAAATTTGAGGACTTAACCAAAGATCAGGAGTGTTCATGTTCTTGGAAGTGATGGGGTTTGGTAGGATGGACTTAGCTGGGATGAGGAGGACAAAGGGAAGCAAACAGCTCACTCTATCAGCGGTGTTCTGAAACAGGAGGCCTTACCTCACCATCTTCTTGGAGTAGCAGTTACTTGATGGCTTTCTGTCATCATACTCCATAAATTTCTGGTCACTGACCACCTGCTTGCCTGCTACTGAATGGGATGACATACAAGTTGAGATATGTGAACTAAAAACCACCAAAAGGGAACTGATTCCAGTAGATGTATCTAGTTAGGTTGATATCACAGAAGTAGATTCAGCTTCAAGCTAAGGCCAGTCTTGGACTTTGCATGGAGGCTGTGAGAGTCAGGCTGAGGAGGAATCATGTTGCTGTGGTTGGAAGTAAATATTTTTAATTAACTTCAAAAGAAGAAGGAGAGCAAATTATAATCTTACCACTGGCTGTTCACTGCTAACTGCATGGGCTGAGCAAGGTCTGCTCTGCCTAAATTGTGTATTTGATTCATGCTAAATTCCCCCAGACTATTTTTAACAACATAGTGTTGCTCTCTGAATTTCAAACTGCATGTTACCTTCCAGCATTGACATTTAAGGTGCCAGTCGGGTCCTGCAGAGAAGCCCTACCATCCTGGGCTATACACCATTGCTGCCCATTGATCTGTTAAACCAGGGCCAGCCAGAGTATGTACAGTACTAAAATATAAATTCAGGCTTTGACTGTGTGATCATTTTCAGTCCATGGGAGTTTTGCTGTTACCTACTTTACAGGGGTTTTTACTCTGTGGCGTAAGCTCTGTGGAGGTACACTCTCTCCTTTTTACAAGTCAAATAAGAGAACCTGTGAATCAGGGAGACAGCAGGGATTCTAAGTGGATGTCAAATCTTGTGAAACAAATCTTGCTGCTGCATGATCTGTGGAGCTTTCTTCCCTGGCAAGAATTTTGCCCCTTTTAAGGGATGCTGCACCTGCCTGCATTCCTACTTACCACGCTATGACTGTCTTTTTACGCCTTGCCAGCATGAAGTTCTAACTAATGCTTTATCTTTCTTACCTCCATACATCATCCAGAAGTGATGTTAGAGCCAAAGCCTTTGTATCATATAGGAAACTTTGCATCTGAAGGCTAGCGCAACCAGTAAGCCTTTCTTCCAGGGAGCAAAGTGACTCTAGAGTCTTCCTAGATACACATGTAGGGCAGTTTTCATGAAGCCCTAATTACTCTCAGCCTCTTCCAGCATGTAGCAATGGATTGTTATTCTGCCAGACATAGGCAAAGTGTACACTATCTCCTTCATGAACCTGGAATACCACTGGCAAATGAGCTTTGCTCACTAGCTCTTGCTCTCTGTGTTCCCAAGGCCAGCAATTAGGCAGCATAGGCACCTTTAGAATTTGTAACAGGTGGCTTTGCACCACTTGGGCTCAGTGTCTCATGGGGGAATTGGGGCTTGGACTGGGGGTTCTTTAAATGATCTACTCTTCTTAATTGGTGGATTTGAGAGTAAGTGGCAGGGCATGTCTCTTGTCAATGGTCCCAGGCTCAGCAAGGAGGTGGTAGAGTTGGGCATACTTGGCCAACATAAGGTATCAGTCCCAGTCTCCCTAGGGACAGAATTCAGAGTTGGAGTAGGCCACAGCAGATCTCTGCAGGAGCTGTCTGGAACTCTGCAGGACTAGTAGCTGCAATATATTTTGGGTAAGTAGAATTTGATCCTACCGAATAAGGCCTGCTAGCTGTTCCCTGCAATTAGTCCCATGGAAACCTTGCAAGATATTGCCAAAGAAGTACAAATTGTTCTTTTGTACCTTACAAGCACATATTAAAGAATATCCTGTATCCAGGCTTGGTTAGTTTGATTCCTGTGTGTTAACTTGTGTGTGGGCACTATAACATCTTGGTCTGCAAACAAATGTTGCAAAAATTCTTGGGTATAAAATTGATCCGTCCTCCAGCTACTGAATTGTATTACTTGAGTTACTCAGCCTGGGTCATGTCTTCTTTGATCCATTTGTAACTTTTCTTGGAATATTCACAATATGAATTCCAGTTGTTTATTTCTACTACAACTTTGGCTGTGATTGAGAGGTGTGAGATACAATAAACGTGTATGCGGTAATGGATGTCTGCATTCATCTGAGCAAAATGTTTGGTCACTGTCACTAGGTGATCTGGCTCTTTAAGGGAACTGGGGCTCATTTACACCTGTTAGTCCTTCTTAAGTGAAGGGAATGAGTCTGAGGGTTATAATGGAAGTATGTGACACCAAGCCACACCTGCTGAAAACTAGAGACCAGCTTGAACCTGGTGAAGCTGAAGAATTTAAGAAGAGAATCAACCTAAGTAGAAGAGTTGTCTGAGTTGCTCTATTACAGGGCTTTAGGTCAGATATGGCCCTTGGAGCCATTAGATATGGGCTGTGGACCCAAAAAGCTTCAGTGGTATTTGCTGGGGGCTTTGTCTGTGTAGCAACCAGGCAGCAGAGGTGAGCACTTACCTGCCTTGAACCCGCAAGTCATTCTAGCCTGCTGCAGAAAAAAAGTTTGACTGCTGGTCTATGGAGTCTTCTGAGCTCCCAGGGAGAGGCCTGGTAGTGTTGAGATACTGCAATAGCTTGACTTCAAGTGGATCTATGAAGGAATAAACTTCCAGGGAAGAGTCTGGCTGAATCTATTCACAGCAAAGAGTCAGAACAAAACACTGAAGAAGTGCAGAATGGGTGAGAGGATCCAGGGGAGAGCATGTTGAACTCCTAACAAAAAAGCCTGGGAAATAAAAACTTGAAGTTGAACTGTTGTACCTTAATACACTAGTCCCTACAAGGGAAGAGTTATGGAACTCTGCTAATGTAGACTTTGACTATGGAAGTTGGGAAACAAGCAGTGACAGCAGAGTCTGACACTGGTTTGAGTAAGATCTTGTTGAAATTACACTTTCTGTTTCCTTAGTAGGGAAAACTCAGCACACTGAGGCTGACCTTGAAACTTAGGGTGCCTGTAGACGTGTGGGACACCTGGTTCAGTGCGCTGTAATTACATTTTGGGTTAATCGAGTTTGCCGGAGCATGCTATTTAGCATGCTGCAGCAGCCTCAGCATCTTGTGTATTCATTACCCCAACACTTCAAAATGATGGCAGGGG